TCTATGTGTCATACCACAAGTTTTTCTCTAGGATTTTATTGTGCTGAGTTCAGATGAGGGCTGCAGTGTTTATCAAGGTCATTTTGAATCTCAGCCTTGCACTCTGCTTGGAAACACTACAAATGTTCCAACAGTGCCCTCCATTCCATCACCCAAGTTATTACAGAAAACACTGACCAAAACTGTTCCCAGATTATTCCCTGAGAGACCCTACTTAATGTGTCCTTCCTCTTTGACAGCGATTATCAACAAAGGCTTTTCAAATACAGGCTTTCATTAACAAGATTATTAGACTATTATACAAAAGCCAAAATTCGTTATACACAGCACGGTGGTCAGTAAAACCAGTTACCTCCCTTCTGCAGATAAAGGCTGAGCCATGCTAAGAAACCTTTGCAAAGTCAAATACAAATCATATGCAGTACCAGGGGATAAAGAACACGAGATGCCCTCAGCCTGGCCGCTGCCAGCCCTCTGTACAACTGCTGTTTAGCAGCTATGGGTGATGAATATCAGCATAACTATTCCTGTGTGCCCACACAATTCTGAACCACAGTCCAATTTAGTTTAGGGGGGAAAAAGCAGTATTTTGCTAAAATTACCATAGTATAGGCTGCTCATTTGTATTACCATAGCAACAAAGGACCTTACTTGAAATGAGACCCCGAGCAGTGCACAATGATCATAACAAGAGACAGCCCCTGTCCCACTGAGCTTAGAGATGACTGTCACCATCCTGCATCGAGGTGCAGGATTTCGGCTGCAGGGAACTCCCTCCAAGACCAGTGCCTAAGCAGGTAACATCAGACGCCAAAAGTATCACAACCCCTGTACCCACTGCGGGACAATAGCCCATAGGGTGGGAGTGTCAGAGCTTAAACTGCTGGTGTCTCCTCAACCTTGGCACCAAGATTTAATTCACTGCTTTTAAACAGAGATTAAATCCCAAACAGAGTGACTTCCACCCAGGTGTCAAACACATTTCATCTCAAAGTAGAGATACGGAATGTTGTCCAAATCTCTGACAAGCAATACTGGTGTGTTAATCGTCGCCGTACTTTGCAAGGGTGCCACAGGAGCATGGCATAGGTTTAGCTCTCCTGGAGTCACTGCTCTGCAGTGGGGGGATGGATAAGTTCTGATTTAGGCTTTAAAGGACCCTTTTAACGCCACTTCTCGAAGCGAAAAATAAATCATTAAAACTACCACGGAACAGGCAAAGCACCAGAACTTTTCCTGACGATGGCAGCAGCCCGGGATGCCACCTGTGGACATCACCCACTGCTTCCAGCCACCCCGCAGAGCTGCCCTGGAGGAAGGACACCGGGGCAGAGGCTACGGGCGGTCCCCCCGGGTCCGCAGCACGGCGGGTGCGGGCCGAGCCTCGCCGGGGCGGACTCGGCACAACCCCGGCCCACGGCTCCTGCTCGGGAGAAGCGGCTCCCGCAGAGGGCAGCGCCGGGAGCTCCTCCTCCGCCGTCCCCGCAGCGGGTCAGCACGGGCCCGCGGGGATCCCGCGCCACCCGCCGCTGCCTGCCCCCGCTGCCGGCCGCGGGCTTTCCGCGGCGTGCGCAGCGTCCCCCGCCGCCGGCCGCACCATGCGGAGGGTCGGGCTCCCCCCGCCCCATCCCCCGGGGCCGCCCCCGCCGCCGCACGGCGCAGCGGCAGCGCAGCGCGGAACGCACGGACCGGCACCGACCCCCCCGCCGCGGGGCTCCCGCCGGCCGCGCCCGCTGCCCGGCGCCGCGGGCAACTCGCAGGCAAGTTTCCAGGGAACTTTCCTTCCAGGAGCGCCTCGGGGCCGCGGCGCTGCCCGGTGCGGGGGGCAGCGGCAGGCGCGGGGCTGCGGCGTCGCCCCGTCGCGGGAGGCAGAACCCGCCCGGGGCCGCCCGGGGCGGGGAGAGGAGCGGGGGAGGGGGTCCCCGGGATCCCGCCCTAACCCGCCTGGAGGGGTGTGCGGGGCGGGGAGGAAGCGGGGGGGGTCGTGCGAGTCCGGGCACGGGTGGTAGCAACAGGTTTTCTTCCGCAGCAGGGATGGACGAGAGGGACTGTCCCCCCGCGCCGCCATCCCCTCCCCAGCCCCGGCTGCCCGTGCTGCCGGCAGCGGGAGGCGCTCGGCCGGTGGCGGGACCGCTCGGCTGATTCCCGGCGTTCTGCTGTCCTGTCGCGGAGGTGGCTGACGGCGGTCAAGGCTGCTCCATCGGGCTCGGTTTGTGATGCTCGGTCTTCCCCTTCCCGGCTCTCCCTCTCCCCGAGTCCTGGGTCTGCACAGTGCAGCGTGGAGGCTCGTGTTTCTGGTTTCTTCTTCTCTGCCTGATCTGAAGGTCCTTTTTAGCTTTAATTTTAAAATAATTGGGATGTCTTTTACATTAATGTAATTACTGACTTCTGTTCGTTGGCCACTGGCACATCAAGTTAACTGCTCTTGATAGGCAGTGTATTTCTGGTGGATTTTTTTTCATGGGAAAAGACTTGGGGGGGGGGGGGAAGGACCGACACGCATAAAATAACTCTCTCTTGACTACGTATCTTCATTTCAGTGGCAAAATATGTATCTATATAAATCAATGACAAATCCTTTACTGTTTTTCAAAAAATGTTTAAGAGATTGTTTTGAATGTGACTTATTAAAATCTGTTGACATCAGTATACTTCACAGCAGGATAATAACTACAGTTGTTCTGATGCACTTCAGAACATCCTCCTGGGGATGTAAGTTATCTGCAAAGTTCTTTCACTTCTGATTGTTATCGGTAGAATTAGGCTTAGCTTTATAAGACCAAACACTGAGCAATGTTTGTCATAATTCAGTTGTAGGTTGTCGTAAGATGCCAAAAAGCAGAACACTGTCCAGCTCAGGGAGAGCAATGTACAGATACGAGCATCTCTTTTCAGATGATCTGTTTTCAGGATGATTTTGTTTGATATTATATATTAACCTTTACAAGTTTGATTTGCCTGGAAGCTCACTTTGCAAGCAGAGCTGAAGTTTGAGATCTGTTCTTACTACGTGAAGAGCTGCATGACTGTCGCTTCAAGTATTTCAGGAGGGTACCCTGACAGTGTTGATACTGTATGGAAATCATCTGTCAGAAGATAGCTGAATTTAACACTGCTTGAAAAAACTGCTTATTTTATCTAAGGGAAGAACAGGGGAAGGATCACTAAACTGTAGAGCAGTCTCTGACAGAATTCTTTCCCCAAAATCACTGTTTTCATAGTCAGCCTGCACTGAAATCTGAAAGTTGTTTGGGTTTTTTTAAACTTAATTTACAAATGGTAAAAAGCATCAGAGACAAGTCCCAGGCACTGGGATTGATAGAAGCGTCTAGGGGGGAGTTCTGCATCTTCCTTGCATGCTTGTTATCATCCAGGCGCAACTTTGTCTTGTCTGCATCACAGAGCAGTATCAGGACTCTTTGCAGGAGCTCTGATTACATCAGAGATGCACTGCAGAATTCAAAATACTGCAGAGGACACTGGGAGGGGAAATGATTCTTGCAGTGGAATTTTAACGTCTTACTCATGATTTCTGTCTCTTTTCCGCAGAACGGCGTCTTTAATATTTCTTTCCCCATTGTCTGGCACCCTCCCTACATTGCGGCCGAGAGTAAGGGCAGTAGAGATTCAAAGACGTTGTATCTCGCTCCACATACACACCACACCACTTAGCGTCACCAAGAGCCTGTGCTGTGGGCCAGTTATTCTGTATTACTGTAGTTTCTAGAAGCCAGAGCAATGATCAGGATTGTATACTGTAGTAAGAGACAGTTCTTGCCCCAGTAATCTTACAAACAAAATAGGAAATGATGCTTAGAGAGAAGCAGTTTGCCCAAGATGAAAACACATTATCAGCAGGGGAGTTGGAAAGATGAACTGGGCTCTAACTCCCAAGCATCCGAAGGGCAGAATGCTATCTCAACCAAGGAGGGATTTTACCATTGGGCCTTACTGAAGCAGAGCAGTTTTATCTGATGATTTTACTGCTACAGCATAGCCTTAGAGTTCATCTTCTTTAATTTTGGGGAAAATTGCTGCTATAGGATAATGTGTTTGTCTGACCTTATATGCTGTATGTTGTCTTTAATTCTTAATGCATTTTGTACAGCCATCAGTCTGCCATGTATGACTAGAACAGTTTGCTTGGTTTTTAAGCTCAATAGCAAAAAAGCCCCTTCCATTAATTAGGTATCTCCCATCTTAAAGCAGTGTTGTAGAGGCTCCTTCCAGAGGAAAACAAGAAACATACAGAGAAGTGTATGGTTTTGTTTTCCTCATTCCTCCGTTCCTTCGAGTCAGGCCATCTTTTCTGTTGTCCTTTATTTCCTCCTATTCTTCCCCCTTAGATGTGATGCTATGTGTATCTGAGGCAAAGAACACGTAAATAACACACGTACGGCATCAAATACTATAGCTGCCTACGTGGGATGTGTGGGCTTGCCAGTTCTCGTTATGGAGAAAGAAGGAGACACCTTTTATAACTGCAGTCATTCAGTGTGTTACACAGGGGATTCATTTGTCCAACTTATTGTCTTGCACAGGTTGAAAAGCTGGAAGTGAAGAGAGAAATTCTTGTTTCTTTGCTCTCATTTCACAGGTGATGCCTCAGGGTTACAGTGTGTGTATGACACATGCTGAACGTTTACATTCCCCTCTCCCCATTTCTTCCCATTGTGTCAACAGTGGATGCAGTGGGAGATCAAACCACTGACAGAGATAAACTGCCTCCTCATTTTTCCTGGCTGAGCTTCAGAAGATTAGTTGTTGCTAACCAACATCATCTGGTGTTACAGAAGGGAAAACAGTTAACAGCTCCCATTTATCCATAGTCTTATATCAGTCTTAATCTTTATTCTCTTTGGGCCAGCCCTGCATTAAGCATAGGTTAGGCAGAGGGGAAACCACAGCAGTTGCTCTGAGAAAAGGAGCCTATCAGGTAGTCCTGTTCACCCATATCAAACCTACAGCTTGAACTCCCAGTGGCATTACTTCTACTTGGGAATGCTTTAACAGAAGATCAGCTCTGAGGTCATTAGGAGTGCTTCATGTGACAGGACTGCATGTCAGTGTAATTTCAATCTCAACTGTTCTGTATTTCCTCTGCTCTAGCTAGCACTATCTGCGCCAGTTATCACTCTCCTCAGATCCCTTCATTTCTCTTGAGTCCTGCAGCTTTTCCAGTGGGCAATGGCAGAGTGCCATCGTCTGTCATGAAGCTCTGCTGATAATCCCAGTGTTGGCTAGAATTTCCTCGAGTGTGACTTTAAAATACAATTATGTTATGTGTTAATGTGCTTTCCAAAAAAAACCAAGGAAGGACTTTCCGGTGAGCAGGCCTTTGCTCAGGCTCCCTCAAGGCAAGAGACAAACCAGAACTGATTGGAAGTTTATTTAGGTGCAGGCTGGTGGGATTTTGTCATTGTTTGCATTCATCATTACTTCCAGAGGAGCTTCAGAATTGCCGCTCCCGTGCCGCAGGGATTTCCAGAGTCATGATTCTGGAGCAAAGACAGAGCAACTCACCGATACAAGCAAGTAGGTAGTGGTAAGGCACTGAAAGGTGAACACACTTAAGATTTTGCCATGGAGAACAGGTTCCTTGCTAACTAGCTGTCCTCAAGTCACTAGTGATAGTAATAAGGAGATCCCATTTTGTGACAGAAGCAAGATGACAAAGGTTACCTCTGCTTACCTCACGCCAGAAAATAGTACCACAGCTCTTGGAAGATCTGAATCATGCCTTGTCCATTCTTGCATATTGTAGGTTTTCTTTATCCACATGCCCTAAAGGTAAGTAAATGAATTATTTCTTTTTGTACTAAAGATTACAGGTGAGGAATCAGGAAATACCACTCCATCCAAAGCTCACCCAGGGCCACGTGTTTGTAACAGTACGTAAGGAACTGCTTTTTTCAGTGTATTCCATCTGGGAAGTTCAGGAGCAGAACTGAGCTTGTACTTTATTGAAAGCAGACTTGTAAGTCCCATTGCATCAAGGAAAGCCTGTTGCTATTGAACTGAAGTGCAGCTGTCTTTTGAATACTTTGCTGTTGTGTATTCATGGGTTTTTCTTCTATAATAGGTATGTAACACTATTGATGTCGTTTATAAACCCCAGCTTCTGCGAACAACAGTTCTGTGTGTAAGGAGGTCACCCTAGCAGGGGCACATATCCCCAGGGTGCGTATCAAAGGGGAGGTAAGTACAGCCAGGAAAAGGACAAAACTATGTACTGCTACTGAAGCCAGTCGAGTGTAATATTTATTACTGGCCTGTGAACTCTAGGCTAGACAGAATACTTGTGCATAATTAATGTCTATTTAATGTACAGTCTACTTAAAGAAATATTCTTATCAAATGAAACTCAGCAACTCCACGCATTAGCTGTAGCTGACTGCACAGGTGGAAGAGTGAGCAGCAGCGCTGTGTGTGAGCAGACTTTCTGCCTGACTTTTAAAACACAGTGAGCTAGGGAGGCAAAAAGCAGTACCTGGTTTTTATACCCATTTGAACCCTGTGGTCACTTTATTCCACAGGCTTTACATTTAGTGTTGTGTGAGCAGAATTTGAATGCGATTTTCAAATTCATGCTGAGAATTTTCTGGTTTCCTGCAATCCGAGGTGAAGGCACTCACCCTGGCTCTCAGCCACAGTGTAATCCATTGTGAGGATTATTATATATATGCCCTGCATATAGGGCATCAGTTACAACTGAAACAATATTCCAATGGCTATGCAGAAATCATGTATTTCTTTGCAATCTTTTGTAAATGAGGCCATAAAAAAGGAGTTGCTATGTCATTAAATGTGTATAAACTCTACACAAACTTTTTATGTGATTATCAGTGTAAGGGGGGTCTTTTTCCAAAAAAATTGTTTCTGTACGGCCTTTTAGAAGTTAATCTTATCCTGTTTTTTTGAAGTGTGTATTTACTGAATTACAATATAATTGACTTCTGATTGTTTCTATATACTTCATGGTATTAAAATCCTTAAGATTTTATGTGTAATACTTAAATAAAAAAGATGTAATTTCCTTTTCTACAAAACAAAATTGAATTCTATGTTCTTATGTGATACTGTCATAATTTTTATACTTCCATTCTGAACCAGGAATATCCTGCCACATGCTGAGATTATTCCTGGTTTCCTTCTATATCCACTGGGAACTTAGACCTCTGTATCTGAGACAGGAGAAGCCACCCAGTGTGACACATATGCTGAGCAGAGCTCCTGAACAAGTCAACAGCCCTTGACAGAGTCAGTTCTACCCAGCTGGACAAATCCAGCCTCACCACAAAGGTCTTCTAACCATACTCAGCCACTGCTATTTTGTTTCCAATTGTTTTTATCAACTATCAGTGTTTTTGGGCTCTAATCATTACATTTGTTTCAAACTTGAAATCAACCTTTCATTCACTTACCCCATATATCTGGTCTTTTTTGTTCCAGAAGACGCTTGCAGAAGTAGCCAAGTGATGTGAAGTTATCTTCCAAGATGACTGTTCTACCTGGAGAAAATTCCGACTATGACTATAGCGCCCTGAGCTGCACCTCAGATACTTCCTTCCACCACACATTCTTTCCAGAAACAGAAACACTTAAGGGAGTCTTCTACCAAAGAGCCAAGCTAATTCACCCTCAAGAGGATCTCCTGAAAGGCTTTCACCCTGATGATCGGAAGCATCATATTATTATAAACGTAGGGGGCATTAAGTATTTGCTCCCTTGGACCACGCTTGATGAATTCCCATTGACACGTCTGGGACAGCTGAAGTTCTGTACTAATTTTGATGACATTCTAAACATCTGTGATGATTACGATGTGACATGTAATGAATTCTTTTTCGACCGTAACCCAGGGGCATTCAGGACAATCCTGACCTTTCTGCGGGTCGGAAAACTTCGTCTCTTGCGTGAGATGTGTGCACTGTCTTTCCAAGAGGAGCTGCTCTACTGGGGAATTGAGGAAGACAACTTGGAGTGGTGTTGTAAGAGGAGATACCTGCAAAAAATGGAGGAGCTTACAGAAATAAATGAACGGGAGGATGACCTCATAGAAAATGAAACAGGTGAAACAGTAGAGGAGACAAGAATTGGCTTGTGCATGAAAAAGCTGCAAGACATGGTGGAAAGACCCCAGTCTGGCCTCCCTGGAAAGGTGTTTGCTTGTTTGTCTGTTTTATTTGTAACTATTACAGCAGTGAACTTATCCATCAGCACCATGCCTGGCCTGAGGGAGGAGGAGGAAAAGGTAAGTTAGCTTTTCAGGGTGGAAAACGGTATGTGCTGGGAAGAGCAGGACAAGCACAAGGTCTGATGGTTCTGATTTCCATGCAGATTTTTCAGTTGTTTTTAGAGAGGGGAAAATAACACAAAGAATATTTGAAATCTGATGTGATTCTTTTCAATTCAGTTTAATCGTAAGAGAATTAATTGTATCAAGTTTTATGTCCAAAGAACATTTTGTTAGTGTTCACTCTTCTGTACAACTGCATTATTACCTTGTTAAGCTTTGTGTTTGCTGTTTAGAAAGCCTGAAGTTACCAAGCAGTATCTTCTGTGGAATATATAGTTCCTTTCTAAGGTTTGCATTCAACTTGTTCTATTTTGTCAGTGTGTTTCCCCATAGCAACAGCTTCAATTCTTTTAATATTTTGGGTTTAAAAAAAAACCAACACAGAAACCTCTCTTCCTGTCACTGCACCAAGTAAAATAGTTATTATCCAGTGCCGATTATGAACTCCTCCTCTTTCCTGCAGGGTGAGTGTTCCCAGATGTGCTACAATATTTTCATTGTGGAGTCTGTGTGTGTGGCATGGTTTTCCCTGGAGTTCCTGCTAAGATTCATCCAGGCAAAGAGCAAGTTTGCATTTCTGCGGAGACCATTAACCCTGATCGACATAATAGCCATTCTGCCATACTACATCACTTTGCTAGTAGACACTACGTCAGTGGGCTATAAAAAGCCCAGCTCTGGGAGCATCTACCTGGACAAAGTAGGTCTGGTCCTCCGTATTCTCCGTGCCTTGAGGATTCTGTACGTCATGCGGCTGGCCAGGCACTCCCTGGGGCTGCAGACACTGGGGCTGACAGCTCGCAGGTGCACCCGTGAATTCGGGCTCTTGCTGCTCTTCCTCTGTGTGGCCATTGCACTGTTTGCACCACTCCTCTATGTCATTGAGAATGAGATGGCGAACTCGCAGGAGTTTACCAGCATCCCCGCGTGCTACTGGTGGGCTGTCATCACCATGACCACGGTAGGCTATGGAGATATGGTTCCCAGAAGCATTCCTGGCCAAGTGGTGGCGCTCAGCAGCATACTGAGTGGCATCCTCCTCATGGCATTTCCAGTCACCTCCATCTTCCACACGTTTTCACGCTCCTACATTGAGCTAAAGCAAGAACAGGAAAGAATAATGTACAGGAGAGCACAGTTCTTATTAAAAACAAAGTCTCAGATAAGTAATGCATCACAAGGGAGTGATATTTTATTCCCCAGTGTCTCTTCTGAGACTAGGGACAATGAATGAAATTTAGGTTGCTGTTTCTCCTGACGTCAAGTGATGTTTTGTTGTATCAGAGTCCATCTTTTAATTTGCTTCGGAAGCATTTTGCAAAGGTAACCCTCATATTAAAATAAGAAAAATAGTTATTAACCAGGAACTGAGAAGTCTATTATTATGCTGTTTCTACTCCCCCCTCCAGTATAATGTATAGGATCTTTCACTGAGATCATACAGCGGGATTTTAGGAATTAAAAGTCTCTGACAAAAATAGAACACCATATAATAATGTACTTGTCAGGCTGTTTTGCCATTTGTAATACATATTTTTCCAACCGAATCATGATGTATATAATCATTAAACAGGCTGCCATTTTTCTTGTTCTTCTTGTATATAAATAATGTAAATACAACAAAATTGGTGGTGAAAATCTCTCCTATTAAAACGCCTTAGAGCATAATGGAAATATCCACAGATGTTTATCCCATTGTGCTCTTAAAAAAACACATTAAGTGAGATTTGTCATTCACAACAGCAACTGTATATTTCTGTGCAAGTCAGCCCTAAACATAGGAGAAGAATCGAGCTGTTTGTATCATGTATCTTGCTCAAGATGTAAATACTTATAGCTCACCAGCTACAAAGTTTAACTGAAGTTACAGAGTTGACCTATGTCACTGAATGCAGTAATCCCAGAAACAAAGTCTTTGAGTTCTATAGCATTTAATATTATTACCAAGAGGTGACTAGCTGCAAATCAAATGAAATATGCATGATGAGATGCCAGTCATTCCCTACCATCTGTTTCCATGTTTTTACTTACCTCAGATATGAAACAGAATTAAAAGAGGCCTGTTTCCAGGGGACACCCTACCATTACTTGGCAAATCGAAGCTTCAGCTACCCATTCACATTCAGCATTTGGTTCTTTAGAAGGAGCAGAAAATATATGGTCGTGGGAAGTTGCCAATGGTGAAGAAAAGAAAATATCATTTGAGTCATGGAGTGGGGGGTACTGACAGCTTTATACTTTACTGTCCTCAATCAGGAGGGACCTAAGACTTAATTAATCATACCTTTGGCATCATGACACACATCATAGGATTGGAGAAAATTTCAAATAGGATATGAAATAGCAGTTAAGGTCCCAAAACACACCCGTGTATTCTTCATCCGTGTGTGTGCCTTGGGCCAGGTCCTGCTGAAGTCAGCGGGAGCACATGGGTCAGTGAAACACTGAGGTTTGGCACAGGTTTCTATGGAGATTAATGACAGAACTCCCATTTATTTTAGAGGGAATGAAACCAGTTTGCACAACAGTTCAGGAGGAAAACTCCAGAGATTAAAAAAACCCCAACAACCTGTTTGTTTGATTTCATGTGTGCTTAGAGGTAAAGAAAAGTTAATCTCAAGGGTTTCACCTTCCCTCCTCCCCTCCTTTTCAGTACTTTTACTTATTATCAGTTCTGAGCCAAGGAAATTCAGAAGTTTCCATTACATTCACCAATGCTTCTCCAGATTAATTTCCAGAAATACTATTACTTATTGGCATTTCTGGAGCAGGTTGCTAGAAATGCCAGAACACACGATGGGTTTGTGATTTGAATGAAAGCCAAGGACACAAACATTGTCCTCTCAATAAGGTAGAGTTAGTTCCTCAGCCTTTGCTGTTTGGCCAAGCCCACGCTACACTGGTTTTCTTTTCAACTGTCTTTAAAATACCATTTGAAGGTGTTCTGATATACGTGCTCTTGAAGAGTAATTCCAGACCATTTAAAAAGGCACTTTACAAGTAATGAGGGCTCTACCATTCTTCACCCTGCAGTAGGTAAATATGCCCGTGGAGCATTTCTGCAGAAGCCTAAACTCTTGGCAGTTAATTATGTGGCAGAACTACAAATGTAACCAGCTTTTCACTCTTGTTCTTCTAATTAGAGTTGGACAAAAAACAGAGACATCGTGACAAAAAAGGGACACATTTTCCATCCAAAATGCACTTAATTTCAAAACTGTTTGATCATCTGTAGCATTGGCTTCAGCACAAGTGCTATACATCCTTCTACCTTTGTGTCAGCACTCGTTATAAAAAGAACTGGTAATTAGATTAGTCCTGTGAGCAACAGTTGCTTATCTAAGAATATGTTTGACAGGCTGAGCCATAAATAAGAAGCTGTAAATGAATATAAGGAGAAATCGAAACTTACCAAATAAAACCTAAGCTTATTTCCATGTTATACTAGCTAATAAATCCAGAAGGTCCATCCATTCTCTCAACATCTTTCCATTAAGTTAATGCTCATTTATTTCATGTATGACTTTACTTTTTTATCCCAAATTATCACTTGATTCTAAAGTCCTTGTCTGGCAACAAAAAAAATATCACCCTGAAGTTGGGTTGAAGTTGGTTGAGCAAACCTGTGAAAGCATCTTGCCTGTTCTGCCTAAGCCAGGAACAAATTAACTGCCCAGGAGGTACCCCCATGTGATTTTGTACTTGGCAGCACATTGATTGTAAGCATATCAACATGTTTTACTGTGAATCACTGTAACAAAGTTGCTTGTGTTTTACAGGAGGCAATACATACTGCAGTCCTTATGCTAAATAAACCCAGCTATAAGTCTTAAGAGCACATTAGTATGAAACCCACATGCTGTGTTCCAGCTCTTACTGTGAAGGCTGAGGGCCTAAAGTCATTATGCCTCTTTACAGTGTATTACCTGACTTTTTAGTCAAATTCAGTTAAATTATGAATTGATTCAAAAGCTGCCTGTTTCCAGTGGCACAGCTGATAGCTACCAAGTCAGCTATCACTTCGTTTTGCATTTAGCAGCATGTGCAGTCAACAAGAAAGTCCCAATTAAAAAAACACTATGTGCTTTTATGAAGTTTGAATTGCCACTGATAGCGGTGCATGTCTGCAACAAAGAGGCTTGCATTGCTCTTTCTCTTACCTTCTCTATAGTGCAATACTATGTGCAGTATGAAATGAAACAGCAGCAGCTGTATTAACTTCGATTAATAAAGTGTTAGTCTCCTTGCATTTCCATGTGCTTCTTACGGTACAGAAAGACTGTCACACGTGCGTAGGCATGCTTGACAACCTGGGGTCTGTCTGAGAAGTGAGCAGCAGCTAAGGCAGAGTTTGGGCAATGAGCGTTGCTACCTGAAGCAGGCTGGCTGTGATGGAAAGTATATACTAGGAAAGAAAACCATCTCAGTATAGAAAAATACAGGTACCAATTCAGCAGCTTGTATAAGGAAACCTCTTTCTTGCATGCTGTCCCAAGAGTCACAATCACGGTTACTTGGGATATAACTTTAAAACATTTGAACCATTCAATATTTTAACCATTTAACCAAAGAATCATCAGATTCAGAAAAAAAAAAAAAAAACAGGAAGGATCCACTGAGATTGAGAAAGAGAAAAATCCCTGATAAAACCAGCATTTCCAGGGGAAGTGGTAGATTAAATTACTTGCTCCAGAATCTTTCCCTCCTCTGTCATCCTTCCTCAAAAGCAATAACAAAAGCAACAAAAATCACTTGGTGAGTGCAACACTAATAAATGAAGACAGAGCCACAAGGCTTCTTTAACTATACATCAAGGAACATAATTTGCAAGGTGAGTTGGAATAATTTGTATAACACTAATATTCATTATAGGTCAAGGTCTTAGGGAAATTTCTCTTTAGGGAATACACAGGACTTGTCTACATTTGTCCCTTTATATTTTTTCCTCTGTAACTCAGTACTCCAGGTTTCCATAGTCAGAGGCTTTAGTAGTGTCATTCAATAGCCCAAGGCTTTACCAATGCCCAATTAAACAATAAAAAAGATCATGCAGAACCGAATCGCGGATTTACACATCATGAGATGCACATCTGGGAAGGAAAGCTGGCGTGCTCTATACATTCATGACTTGTGTGGGTAGAGTTTAACTGGGGATTCATTCAGGCTGATGCGAAAGCAAAGATTTTTGCTGTGGAAGGTTCTCATTCCTACTGCTATAGCTCCCCTCTGCAACTGAAGTTTCATAGGAATCTCTCTAAACAAAAGCTTTCCACTCAAACAGTCCTTTAGGCTACAGACTGAGAGTAAAAGTTCATTTTAGGCACTTACAGAAGTGCCTGAAGCAGCAGCCTCATCAAAAGATCTGAATCAGCACTGGGGATATGAAGTCTTTTCTGGGGTTTATTTTGTAACTAAGCCTGGAATGAACTAGATCCCTAACTCAGGTGTCACATTAAAAGGCCAGTGTTAGGACGGATGAATTGGAATCTTATTCTTCAATTGCACAGAAGCACTAATATCTACCAGCATTAACGTTATTTGTCCTTTGCACATCTCATTCAATGTTAAGTAGGGACCAAGGAATATGAAGCAGCGCAAAGAATCCAGATCCAGAGAAGCCAGCTTGCTCTTGGTCAGGGCCAGTTTGAAACAATAGAACAGCAGCAAATACAAAGTTCTTGGCAGTTCATGCCTGACTGTGAAATAGTCCTGTTCCATACAATTATTGATCTTTTTGCTTAGATAACAAGACTAGGAAGTTAAAACAAGAGGAAAGGAAGAAATACTTTTCCTAACAAAGCTACGGGATTTCATATTCCTCTTTTGGGTTTGCAACAGGCTGAAATCTGGAGCAGATAATCCTAAACCTACAGAGATTTCATTGCCTGTGTATAATCAGAAATTAAACAACAAAGTGACAAACGTGAGTTCAAAGACTGTGACACCAATCTCTGCTCTCACGTCTGTCACTGACATTAACCTGACACCAATCTCTGCTCTCACGTCTGTCACTGACATTAACCTCTAACCTGACCAGTTGACTCTGACCCAGGTGGCAGAGTTTCACCCATTTTCACTTTCATTACTCACCATTTTCATTTCTACCAGTAGCTGCCACAATAGTACATGGCCCAGTTTCTTCTGTGGTAATAGTTAATCTTATGCAAGATTTGACAGTTAATTTAGTCTCTATCCAAAAGGTGACAGGAGTGCCAAAAATAGACAAAAAAATAAGGAAATGAAAGCACCCAGGTACAGTGTGTTCTGGGATGGTGGAACTGTGGTACCCTATAGGCACAAAGAGTGCAACCACCAGAAACCAGACAGAACTGAAGGCATGGAACTAGAGTCTGTGACAGTGGATGAACATCACCCCGTCAACAAAAATACACTTCAAATAATCTATTGCTTAAACTGAAAATGCTTAACCCTAGATTTACGCACTCACCCATTTACCACTTCCTCTGTGGCATTTTAACATTCCCATTTCAGCATTACTAATGATCTCAGTGTTCTTAACATAGCAGTGATAGTATAAAAACCAGGAAAGTGAAGACCATTTTAGATCCAAAACTTGTACTTCACTGAATCAATTCAGCTCTGTGCATGTTCTGTCTTGTCTTGTAGCATTATAGAGTGTAAGTCCTTAGGACAGGATTCCTTGTTTTGTAGCTGTCAGTCACTATGTAAAATCATACACCATAAATAAAGGTAAATTTCTACACCACAAATAAAGTCAAGGAGATTTTTGCCTGTGCTGCCACACTGAAAATGTTCTGAGTTTGGCCTATTGATTATTAACAATAAAACTAGATCTTCCTCCCTTTTTGCTCAGTGTTTTTCTTTGCCATTTTCCAGCATCTCATGTCTTCAAAATACTCCCTTGAAATCACTACAGCTATTAAAACTGCTATTAGCCCTGCCAGAAGTGTGGTGAAGGAACTGCAGGACCATAATTATCAGGGGGATGTTTCTGCCCCATCCAACAGGGTTTCTCCTTTCCCTTTGCCCGTGGCAACTAATTTAGAAGCAAATGTCACTTGAACAGAAATAAAGTTCTGCCAAAACTGAAGCACAGCAGGCCCATCAGGGTAATTAGAGCACATTTGCTATACTTTATAAATATTAATTCGTTATCCCTGTAGCCCTTCTGACATGAGTTGAACAGTCTTGAGCAACACTGAAGTCAGCTAGGGCACATAAACACATGTAACGCTGTCAAGCTGCAGTTTAAGCTTCTCCTCCATTAGGTACCCCTTTTAATGACTGCAGTTTTGTAGCCATTCTTAATTATGGTCATAATTTTATTCCTACATTCATTGTGGGTGCAGAAAACAGGGCTGCAAACTGTAATAATTACCTGGCTCAAGTGAGTGACCTGGAACGTAAGTACCTCCCAGGCCATCACCTAGAGATCAGAATGTTTAAAAACCCAAGGCCATTCATTTCCAAAACCAGAGATAGTTAATTTTACATCTCTCAGTCATGCAAGTAAAGTGGTCAGCAAGTATAATAACCTTTATCTTTCTGTAAGACAACAATCTAATTTAAATGGTGCCTACCACAGGAACAAAGTTGTGTGGACCAGCCTAGATTTCTACAGTTAATTTCACACAGACATAAGGTTTTAACAGAGTTGCTGAATGATACATGAAAGTAATGCTCTTGCTTTCATTAGTGGTGCACCTCGTGTCACAAAGAAGCTGAGGGATACCATTCATAACTTTTACAGTGGTAGTTCGCAGGTCAGCCAAGGAAAAGATGACTCAGTTTCACTCATAAATAAAAGCACTTTTGGGGAAATCAAGCAACAATACCCTCAAGCTAACCAGATCCAACACTGAGGACTTGCAGGTGTCTTTAACTTTAGAAAGGATTGTTTCTGGGGTCAACCTGAGTAGGAAAAGCTAAGACTGCAAAACATCACATGGCACAGGAAGTGCGTGAAGTTATCTTCACAGTTTTTTAGGTGAAAGCAGAGAGCACAGATTCAACATGGGAATCACAGGATGAAAACGAACATAACTTGGACATTAGAACAGGAAAGAAAAATCAGCAGCAACAGCATAAGGTGAAATTGGCAACCTTATCCCACCACAGAGGCTGCTGTAAGCCCTGAAATTCTGTTAGTCAAACTCTCCTCTTGGTGGGACCTGTGTAAACCTGCATGTGCATTTTTTCCCTACTGACTCTTTGCTCTTCCACTGACAGCAGAAACTCTGACCCACACCTAAAGTACTTCAAGCACCTGCACAGGACCAAAGGCGTATTTAGTTTTGTAGTGTACTACGATGCAAAGCCAAAGAGAAAGTTTTCCCTGTGAATCAAAACTTACTATTTGCTGTATTTGAATATGGCTGCTTTTCTAACTATAAAAGCTATAGTACTCGAGATGCACTACTAGCCCCAGAGGATGCGTTGCTAGAAGAGTCAAGAGTTACTGAGAACAATATAAATCAAGGCTGTGTCAGAGTTTGGGTAAGAAAACCGGTTGTCATCAATGCAGAGTGGAGAATGTGCCTGATTCAAGGATCTTACGTTGCCATCTACGGGCTGCTCCCGGCAGTCCTCGTCTGAGTGCCAGATCCCTGTCCTGAAGCATCCATCCCCACAAGTCTCTTTAAAAGGATGTATAAAATATTATGAGAAATGCTTTTTAAAATATAAAGGAAAATACCCAATCCACTGCACTGCTTGGCTTCTGCATACGTGTCCTCTCATTTGCCAGAGAAGGCTGTTAGATCTGCCAGGAAACAAGGATGAAGATCCCACCAACATAGTTTCTGGTGAGTGTGAAGCACATACTGACACTCCATAAATGTCCATAAATCTATTTATACAGCATTTATTTGGCTGGAATTTATGTAAGTGACATTTTTCAAAGCCTATCTGAGTAAAACTAACAAGACTGAAGGTTAAAAATGCAAAGACCTCCATTGCTTGTGTAAGAGCAGTAGGGTAAGTAAGCAGTTAGGATTTTATTTATAAAAGAAATTACAAGACCTGCTTCAAAAGGAAGAAAACTCTTTCAGTTGGTTGTATCAGTGCAATTTCTCAGTGTTCAAAGAGTTCAGAAGTGCCTTACCCAAAACCCT